ATTGTGAGGATTAAATATAATGTATGCAAAGGCCAAGGGACAACGTACAATCATAGCTGCATAAAATGCCTTTAATGCTGGATCTGTTTCACTCAGCCAGGACAGAAACTTGGTCAAACTGAACATGATCAAACCTGACATGACTAACAGTGCTAGCAGAACTCCTGTAAATTTCTTCAAGCCCAACTTATCAGAACCCAACAAAAAAGGATTTTCACAGATTGATTAATTCAATGTAAAGGTCTGGGCATTTCTCCAATGCCTGCCCATTTGTTCTAGGTAGTGGCTTCAACTACCCTTGCAGCAGCCATAGACTTAAGGTGAACTCTGACTAGGACTGGATTAACACTGAAATGTGGTGTGTTTCAAAGTCTCCTGATCAACTGGCAGATTTGTCTTCTGGAATACATCTGAGAAATCTGGAGGCAAAAAGAGCACAAAGCCTTCTTCAAAAAAAAGCAATAAATATTTGACTCTAGGAAAGGATATTCAGCTATTCCTAATGTTCAATTATTGAGAGATATATACAAAGTAAAAAATTAAACATTTAAAAGACTATTTCCAAATATTCCAAAGGAGAGGAACTGGCACCATGTACTGGGTTGAAGTGTCCCCTCAAAAGTTATGTCTACTGGAATCTGTCATAGACCTTATTTGGAAATAGGATCTTTGTAAATGTAATCAATTAAGATGAAGTCGTACTGGATTAGGTGGTTTCTGAATCCAATGTGACTGGTGTCTTTATAAGAAAAGGAGAATTTGGACACAGACACATGAACTCATGTGAAGATGGAGGCAGAGATTGGAGTAATGCTTCCACGAGCCAAGGGTTGCCAACAGCCACCAGAAACTACATGAGAATTCTTCCTTAGAGCCTTTGGAGAGAGTGTGGCACCTCGATTTCAGACTTCTATCCTTCAGAACTGTGAGAGAATAAATTTCTATTGTTTTAAGCCATCTAATTTATGGTGACTTGTTATAGCAACCCTAGGAAATTATTATAGGCTGGATTTTTAAGTACAAAACCAGGAGCTCTGCCAGAAACTAGCTTTGTATCCTTAGGCAAGCACACCAAGCCTCAGTTTTCTTATCTGCAAAGGAGTGTGACCCCCAAATCCAACAAAGACAAGAAAATAAAATTAAAGACCAATTTCCATGATGAAAATAGATACAAAAACTCCAACAAAATACATGCAATTTGAATTCAACAATACATTAAAAGGATTATATACTATGATCAAGTGAGACTTCGTAGTTTGCAAGAATGGCTCATTTGCAACATGGATGGAACTTGAAGACATTATGCTAAGTGAAAGAAGTCAGTCAGAGAAGGACAAACACTGCATGATTCCACTTATGCGAAGTATCTAAAACAGTCAAAATGATAGAAGCAGAAAATAGGATGGTGGTTGCCGGAGGATGGGGGAGGGGCAAATGGGAGTTGTTCAGTGGGTGTAAAGTTACAGTTATACAAGATGAGTAAGTTCTGGAGATATGCTGTGCAAACGTTGTGCCTATAGTTAACATTACAATGTTGTGCACATAAAATTTTGTTAAGAGGGTAGATCTCATGTTAAGTGTTCGTACCACAAAAACAAAAACAGAAAAGACAAAGGGACAT